CCGCCAGCCGGTGGAGTAAAAGGGAAAAATAAACACTGGTTTTCTGTCTCGAAAGGCGGAATAAAAGTTGAAATGCAATTTTTGGTCATTATTTAGTTTAGGCCTCCTCCAATTTTTTTTGCATCAGTTTTGTTAGTAGAACATTAAACTGATTTCAACAGTAGAACAATACAATTTCATTCAGTGTACGTCAGTTGCATCAGTTTTCCTAGAGTAGAAAACGCTAATAATATACAATCTATACAATCAAACGAATTTTCCGCGAGGACATCGACTCCCTAAAAGAATCGAAATTTTGTAGTTTCAAATCTTTCAATTCGATTTTGTGCCTGACTGTTAATCCTGTGTGCGAGAATCTGGCCGCATAAAATATATAATAAAAGAGAAGAAAAAAAAGCTATTCAAAGAAGATAAGATCGAGTGACTGCATTGCAGATCTTGTTACGGAAAGTAAGCTGTTAGATCTTGTTTGGATCACTTAAAGGTAAAAGAAGACATTCTTCACTCCTCGAATGAATCACAACGCGTTTACATCAACATGGAAAAAAAATCGACGAGAAGGAGACTTGATTACAACAATAAGCTCATCCTGGCGCCTATGGTACGTATCGGAACTCTTCCGATGCGTTTGCTCGCCCTGGACTACGGCGCGGATATAGTTTACACCGAGGAATTGATAGATTGGAAACTACTTCGTTCAATTCGACGAGAAAATGGTAAAGTACACTTTTCCTTTTGTTGAGCAATTAGAATAAAAAATTATACACAATGCCAAACATTTGTATTAATCTTTTATAAGTTCAATTACTTTATTATAGGAATCTACAACAACCTTACTAATATAATTATATTTATTGCATCGTATCGCAATCATCTATTTCATTTGTGTCAAATTTTCTGTTAATTTAGTTATCTATTAAAGTAATCTTGTTTTTCTGAAAACCGCGAATTATATTTTTTTCTAAATTTAATCTGATATACGTTTGTTCTTAGTATTTTTTAAAATTATAATCCTAACTTCTTAAATCTAAACATCAATGTCTAATGTAACGTAAATATAACATAAATATAGTCTCTTATTTATCTTTGATTGTTTTATTGTTAAATTTACTCATTGTTTGCAGATGTCTTAGGCACTGTCGATTACATCGATAAGACTGATGGTACCATAGTGTTTCGTACTTGTCCTCGGGAACGAGATCATGTAGTTCTTCAAATTGGTACGTCTGATTCAGCGAGAGCGGCTGAAGTTGCCCACATGGTAAAAAATGATGTTGCGGGTATAGACGTTAATATGGGCTGTCCAAAAAAATTTTCCATGCTCGGAGGAATGGGTGCTTCTCTTCTCTGTGAACCCCAAAAAGCGACCGATATTTTACAGAAGCTGATTGAGACAGTAGCTATACCGATCACTTGCAAAATACGCGTTCTGCCCGATCTCGAGGAAACTCTACGACTTTGTGATACCCTTGCCTCCACTGACATCGCAGCTATTGCCGTCCATGGTCGTACTATCGAGGAGAGACCACAGCATTCCAATCGCAATCATGTTATCAAACAGATCTCTGCTAGACTTTCGATACCAGTTATTGCAAATGGTGGATCTAAAGATATTCAAAGACATTCCGATATACTTAGGTAATGCTTTGATGCATATCTATACGCATCTCTCAGAAAGATCTCGTTTAACTTAAAGCATATTTCCACAGATTTAAAAAAGAAACAGGTTGTAGTAGCGTAATGCTTGCTCGCGCCGCTGAGTGGAATTGCTCAGTATTTCGTAAAGAAGGTCCTCTTCCAATGGAAGATGTTATAAAGTCGTATTTAAAGCATGCAATCGATTGTGATAATTCACCTTCCAATACAAAATATTGTATACAGAATATTCTACGGGAGCTTCAGGAATCTCCTTTAGGCAGAAAATTCCTCGATGCACAAACATTAGAACAAATATGGTGAATGTTTTATCTTTTTTTTTTTCGTTTTATTACTCTTTACTTTTGTTCAATAAACTCCTTTTTTAGTGAAATATGGGGATTAGATGATTATTGCCGATCTAAAAGCAAAGAATTCCAGGATAAAGGTTTACTAAGTCGCTTTCAAATAACGCCGGGAATCCTCGATAAAGATAATATTTCTCATAAAAGAAAAATTCAAGAAGAGGAAGATGTTTTTCTGATGCGTTGTGCTTTTTTAAGAAACAATTATATAACAGACTCGGAGTTGCCAAAGACTCGGCTATTTAAGTGGACTAAGGAAAATCGTAAAAAAATGCCAGTATATAATACTCGGCAGGAGAATAAACTCTTCTGTTCTGTTGTTACTGTCGACGGTAGAAAATATGGCTCCTCTTTCTGGTAAATTATAAACAAAAAATAATTTTTCTCTATTTTTTTATTTACATCTATTTCAATGTATTCTCTTTTTTAGGGAAAAAAATAAAAAATGGGCCGAACAAGGTGCTGCTTTGGTATGTCTCTATTTTTTAGGAATTATCGACGAGAAGTCTTACCGCTGATGATAACATTTTTTCTGATATCTGCTTTATTCTTTTCATTTATAATACAATCAAATTTTCATATAGTAAAATATTGTATATAATAATATAGTAAAATTGCATCGTAATATTAACTATACATGAAATAGTTAAAATTTCGAAAATTGATGTTACCTTATATATTCGCCACATAATTGTGAGGTCGTATTAACACTTCTGACTTATCACTATTATTTTAAATTGTGACGTCAGAAGAAAATAATTTTCGATATATTTTATAAGTCTATTCTATCATTTGCAAATGTTTTATTTAAAAAATGTTTTATTTAAAAAATGTTTTATTTAAAAAATATTTATATTAGAACATATGAACATTTTGTAAGAATTTGCATTTTCTCGTTTCTGACGTCACAATCTGAGATAGTATTAATGTGCCAATAAGAACTAAGAGAAAAGATAAGAAAATAAGCGAATTACAGAGCGTATAACATTGTTATGTGCATATGATATTAGAGTAAGAGTAGGAGTTGAAGAAAAGGAGAGCTTTATTCAATATGCATATCTGAATCTATCTAAAAATACTGGATATAATCGAATATAAAAGAGTACAAATATTCTTATATTTTTGTAAATAAATTTTAATTTTTTATTTATTTTATTTTATTGAGAATTGGTTACATACACAGTTTTTATTAATGCTTGATTTCAAAAGTACGTTTCCGTATTTTTGTATGTGAAATTTTTCGAAAATAAAGTTCTAAGTCATGAAACACAATAAATGTAGTGATTTTGAGCCGTAAGAAATTAACCAATCGTAATCGATTATTCTCTTTAAATTTGACTATGATTGGTCCATCTAATTATACCTATTGTGTTTCGAGACCAAAGGCCCATCTACAATGAGAGTAATAAGACGTAAGCCTGTCTCTTATACACATT